GAATTTATAACATAAAATAACCTGGACTTTTCCAGCCCAGCATTGTAATCAGTAGAGATTGCAAAAGAGCAACCACAACCAGAGGATTACCTTGAGAAAGACTTTGAAGGAACAAAAAGAGACTGATCTTTGCTAGCAGATGCTATATCACAGAATACTAGGGCAGGGCTGAATTGAGAAGGTTTATGTGTGACTAGTGTGCTGGGCATTTGCTTTTCAACAATTTGAGTAGTTGACATGTAAATATTTTCTCAAAAGTATTTAAAACCATACTGTTTCTGTTGTTATAGAGTCACAAACAAAATTATACAAAATTATAAGAAATATTTTGAATATTATCTTTAAAATTCAGTATTTTGAAATTTTGAAAGTTGTTTATTAACTGTCAAGAACTATAGAGCATGAGCAAAAATGTTTTGATTTGTAAAGTAAATGTGGAAAAATGCAAAAATAAACAAATAAGTGAAAAATAAATAAATGGGAAAAATAAAATAGTAGAAATCTTTGTCTTTGTTGAGCTTATATTCTAATTGGAAAGATAGACAATAATCAAAATATTAATATATGTGAAACATATGGGAAATACTCAGAATTTAAATATTTTTCTTTCTTTTTTTGTGATGGAGTGTGCCAATACACATGTGAGGGGCTGGGGGAGAGAAGCACTCTCCATAGGGAACAGTCATGCCACAATCCCCTCCTCCAGTCCTCCAGCTCTTTTGGAGGATCCCGGACTCTCACACATGTGCCTGGTGTGTTTCAGGTAGACTAAGCCAGGGAATCCAACCACGGTCACCACATGGGATCTGGCTTTACTTGAGAGCAGTGCATTAGCACTCCACAGTGCAACCCCAATTTAGATTTATTCTGAATATTTCTATAATGAGATGTGCCAAATCAGACACAGAGTATAAAAGAGAAAGAATCAAGAATGATACTAAGACTTTTGACCTGATAGATAATAAGAATGGAATCATTAATTGAGATGGGGAGAAGTACAGGAAGATTTTGTGAGAGCACCAGAAGCTTGTTTTGTACATGATAAGTATGAGGTGCCTGTTGTACATCCAGGTGGAAATTTCTGGTGGGTAGTAAGATATGAGGGTCTTGAGTTCTGGGAAGAGATCCAGGCTAAATATAGAAATGTGGGAGTCGCCAGCATCTAGATCATACATAAGGCCATGAGATGAAATGAGATCACCAAGAAAGTAAATTTAGAGAGAAATAAGACGAGATTGGAGGACTAGACCCTGAGGCACCCCAACATTTGGAAGTCAAGGAGATGAGGAGGAACAGCAACGATAAAGCTAGAACTTCTTTCTTTAGCTACAACAGTAAAAGAATCAGCTAGAAAGTAAAATTAAAAACCAGTCAAATGTAAGGCCCTGGAGATGAAGAAAAGAAAATGGTTCAAGGAAGAGTTCAGTTGTGAATGATGCTGCCGGTAAGTCAAGAAAGATTAAGACTGACCATTGACTTGCAATGTGCGCTCACTGGTGACCTTAGTGAGTGGTTTCAGTGGAGCGGATTCAAGAAAGGAGAGAAAGAAATTGGAGACAATGACGACAACAAACACCAAAGGATTTCTGCAGCAGTTGGAAGGAGAGAAAGAGGACAGGGCCCGGAAGTGTTGAGCTCTATTTTCAAACATGAAATAAGTCAAATAAATATCAAGTAGGTTATTAATGAAGTTATTTAAATTATATGTAGAGGTTATAAAAAATAGTTTAGGAACAAGTGGTTCCCAATTTTGTCTTAACAATCAAGTCTTCTCAGAAGTAAGTGTAGAAAACATAGATTTCAAGAGTTCTCTGCATAAACTGGCAGTAAAACCTAGGGAGAGCCTCTCCTCATGATGCAGACAATAACCTATGGATCTGCAGTGCTGGAAGCCATAGGGCGGATCACAGGTTTGGATTCCGAATCAGCCTGAAACACAGCAGCCATGTGTGTCCAAGATCCAGACTAGCTAGAGGACTGAGGGAAGAAGATCCTGCCAGGACAAGACCCTTGGGGAGTCCCTCTCTTACTCACTTACTCTCTCTTACTCTTGCTCTCATTCATAAAATTAATATAATAACTATAATTTTTTAATTTTAAAAATAAAATCTGATGAGGAATCTTCAAAGTGGTCTGACTTCTGAATATTTTTTATTATTTTATTTATTTATTTATTTATTTTAGGCTTTTGCCGTAGGACATGTGTGTTCCCCAGAGAAAGAGAGAAAATGAGAAATCACCTCTCGGGAGGATGACCACACCACAATCTCTTCTCCTCCATTCTTATCGCAGGATTTTGGGCACATACACACATGTGCCCAGCGTGATTTTCAAGCCTCCAGATCTGGGATTGAAACCGTGGTCAGCCATGTGAGAATCCAGTGCCTTGACCGCCACACCACCTCCTAGTTCCTGCTTCTGGCTGTTTTTAGAACTAGTTTCTGAATACACGCCTTCTTCTGTTTACTACCCTGCCGACTCAGGATTAAGTCTCTTAGAAGAAATCTTCTATGCTGTTTGTGTACATAAGCATTTGCAGACCGAATCAGTAAGATGTAAAGATACTTAGGATGATGCTATGTTTGTTGAGACTCAACAATTAGAAATTAGCTTGGGAAGATGTTTTAAAGACTTCGAAGACATGTGAGGTCAATAACTTTTTAAACTTAGTTTCATGACCAAATAATGCAAAATGCCAGTACATTCAAAGATCTATCCCGCTATCAGAAACCAGCATTGGGACCAGTAATGGTTACATCACTGGATTCACGCAGAGTCAACCACAGCTCGATTCTTGGACTCTGAAGCTTAAAACTTACACCCGGTGTGTGTGTGTGTGTGTGTGTGTGTGTGTGTGTGTGTGTGTGCCCAAAATCCTGAGAGGAGTCAAGAAGGGACTGCAGCATGGCCAACCCCATTGGAAGTGATTTCTCTCTCTCTGTCTCTCTGGCAAGTGCATGTGCCCTATAATAAAAATCTCTCTAAAGTAATTTTAAAAAAATAAAAGATAAAAAAATTTTAAAAAACCAAGCCAGGTGCCTATGCGTGCATTCCCAAGATCCTGAGAGGAGAATGAAAGAGAAGGAATTGTGGTATAGCCATCTCCCCTGGGGGATGATGTCTCACTTTCTGTCTCTCTGGCGAGTGTACACATCCTGTAACAAAAAAAAAAAAAATCTATTAAAAAAAGAAAGGAGCCAATCTTTACCACTGCTAAACTGAGAAATATACTGCAGTATCCTTACTGTAATTTCTCCTCTAGTTCTACAACTTTCTTCTGTAATTCCTGATTCTCCTTCTTTGCAGTGTGAGCTGCAATTTCTGTTCTGATTTTAGAAGTGGAAAGTGTTGCCGATTCTTCTTCCAGCTCCTGAACTCTGCTCCTCAAAGAGGTAAGGAGAGAAGATTTCCTGGCATTGTTTTCTTTGTAGCTCTCTATTTCAGCTTTCAACTCTTGGCAGGAGACTTCTTTAGAAAGCATCTTGGATCTGAGGTCTCGAAGCTCACATGGAAAAGAAGTCAAAAGAGGAAAAAGCACTTTAACAACATAATTTTGAAGTATCTGTAAGAAATCCAAAACCATAATCTAAAATTTTACTCTTTTGTTCATGACTCAGTTGATGTTATTTTCTTTTTATTTTCCTTTGCATAGTTTTGTAGCTGTATTATTACCAAATGGAAAGTTAAACCTAACTAATGGACTTCATGTTTTATCTTTTTTCAAAACCAGTCGGGCAGTATCTTAGGTTGATTTAGCCTCACTTGGTGAACATTTGTGATGTGTATTGCAAAAAGCAATAAACTACTTTGCAATGATAACCCATTTTCTAAATCCGTATTATTGCTATTGCTGCTGATAAACAATGACACAAGGAGCTTAAAAGTTACACCATTTATGACTTCATGGCCATAGCTGTTTCCCCAGTAAATACAGACTATTCTATATGTCACTGTGTTTCTCCCTCTTATCTTTAGTATCATGATTGTAGACAGTAAAGAAAAACAATATTCATATTTCTAGGGAAAATAAAGGAAAAAAGGAAAATCTTTTTCTAAGAATTATTTTTATTGAACTGTATTTATTTATTTATTTTAATTTGACCAGAAAGGGACAGAGTGAGTGAGAGAGCAAGAGAGAAAGAGAAGGAAAATGAGAAAGCAAGCTACCAGGTCTGGGACTTGAACCATGGTCAGCCATGTGAGAGTCCAGCATCCTTAGCCACCACGCCACCTGCAGGCCCCAAGGAAAAGCACTTTGAAGTTGATCTACTTTCTCTTTTATATGAGAGCATATTCATGCATGGAAGAGCAAGAGGCATCCTTGACGAGGTGTCATCATGGCATAATCCTTTTCCCTGCCCTCCAGCTAGTCAGCCTCTCAGGCACATGTGCCCACAGTGTTTCAGGTCAACTTGGGATCCAGATTCATGCTCAGCCATGGTTGGTACACTACCACTTATGTCATCCAGGCCTGGCCTCCTTATAGGACGTGCACAAGGGAAATACTGTAACTTTTATGAATTCTGTGGCATCAAAATGTATGTGTCCTATTAAGACATCAATTCTCCTCTATGAAAAAACTTTATGAATACATGTACTACTTTGGAACTGTGAGTTCCAAACATTCATTCATGCACACAAATTATTAAATCATCTTCGAGTAGGGTCCTGGCAGCTTTAGTGAGAACACTATTGCGTCGTTGGAAAAGTTGTGACATGTTTTCCTATGTTTTTCTACACAAAAATGAGACATGACTTTTCTGATGACCCAATAGGTACCTCACAGGCCAACCAAGGATCCCCAGGGCCACAGGCTACAAGCAGAATGAGTCTAGGGAGACTCAGAAACTCCACTATGGACTTGATCTAGCCCTGAGGGTAGATGGATCCCACCTATCTTCCTAGAATCTCCCCAGCCAATCAGAGCTGCCATAGGAAAGGAATTCAGAATTCCCTTCTAATAGTTCTGGATTGCAAGTAACCTATGTTAACCCAAGAGATGCTGAAAGTTCTCCAAGGCCAGGGCAGCTTTAACACAAAGTTCCTGAGGTGTCCCCGAGCTCTCAAGGCTCCAGAGCTCCTCTGAGACCTAGATTCCAGGCCACACCGGCTCGCTTACAACATGGCAAAGGCATAACCTTCAGGAGTTCTAGGGGACAGTACACAGTAAGAGATGAGGCATAAACTTTGCCAAAGGTTTAAATCTGTATCCTACCATCCTATTTCTAGTCGCCTCTACACTCGGCTTCACTCTGTAAGAAATGGAATGGCCTTTCATTAGTGATGAGGCTGCATGGTCTCACCTCGGACTGAGCACTTTCAAGTTTGACCAGAGTCGCTGCAAGTTCACTTCGAGCATCTTCAGCCACATTCCGATAGTGGTTTAACTGCTCCTGAGTGACCGGGACTTCCAAAAGATGATTGTAGGTCGTGGTTTCCTGGTAGAGTTTCGCCCAAGACAAAATATAAAGAAGAATGTTAGTGTGTGTGTGTGTGTGTGTGTGTGTGTGTGTGTGTGTCTGAGTGCGTGCGCACGCACGCACAGCTGCTCTAAGAAAGATTAGACAGACATAGCTTGTATTCCAAATGTGTCAAAAATGCTACCCAGAGAAGTGCTGTGTTCAGATCATTTTGTTCTCATTCTCAAGTTCAAAGGGAGGAAGGATGCAGCCCAGGAACAAAAATGATAGAGAGTTGGCATTTATGAATTGGCCTTTGCCACTTTAGAATTCCCTTCCACCAAATGCAAATGGTATTTGACCTCCTTTCAGAAACTATAGGGTCATCGGATTTGTCAGAAAAGAAGCAACACTACAGTCTGTATAGCTAGAAGGCAATTGTCATTGTCCTTCTGTTTCCAGGCCACAAAGATAATCACTTATCTCCTGTCTGTTGAACTAAGTGTCTCATTTATCAAAGAGATCATGTGATGTAAATGTAAAATGCTTCTTCATGGGGTCAGCATGGTGTAATAGTTAAGGTGCTGGACTCCCACATGGCTAATCATGGTTCAAGTCCCAGATCCAGTGGTTTGAACCTCATAGCAGGTGCATGTGCATGCGTATCCAAAATCCCAGAATGGAAAAGAAGGGATTGCGACATGGCTATCTCCCATCATGGGAGATATCTCACCTTCCTTCTCACTGTCTCTGTCTCTCTGGAGAGTGCATGTGTCCTGTAGCAAAAACCTTAAAAAAATTTATAACTATTCATTATGCCTCTTATTCTCAATCTCATAACTTCTCTCAGGGTCATGAAGGTGACTCAAATGAATGCATGAGATTAGGTTTAGGATGGTGGTGCATGGATGGTCCCTATGCCCCTGCCCATCTAGCAGGAAGAGCTCTCAGCCCCACCGAGGGCTGCTGTTGCACAAATAAGGACCCTAGTCTGACCAAATCATTCCAATTTGTCATGACACATGCTATAGATCCGGACTCTTTAAAGTGAACATTCTATTTTTTGCAGCACAACAACCGACTTAAATGTTTAATAAAGAAACACATGTGAACCAAATAAACGCAGTCACAGAATAGATCTGATGGATTTGGCCTGTGGGTTTTTCAGTCTGCAAGTTCTGGTCCTGTTCTGTCCTGGTCAGGTCATATCCCTGCTTCCTTAAAGAATTAGGTAAGAAAAAAAAAGAAAAAGAAAAAAAAAAAGAATTATGTTAGCTTAGTCAGATCCTGATGCCCAAGTCTATGAAGTTCCAGGCCTCTGGGAAAGACATACAGGGAAGCCATTCATTTTTGAAGGAATATGAAAGAAGTCACATAAAGGAAGATTTCCTGTAATAGCTCAGTGGCCTCAGGGGACACACCAGAAAAACCTGTTTACGACTGCCCAAGACTACCCAACTGCCAGGACCTACTGTTTGATATGCTCATGAACGCGAGTTACCTTAAAGCCCTGAACTGTGCACGTTGTCATGACTGATGTGTTTCAGTCTACAGAAATGTCAAACAAAAGCTTCAGGGCACTTAGTAACAGCCATTGTTTGCCAATCACAACACAACCAAGAAGATGGTAGACACGTGCTCCTGGGAGATCATGAAAAGTTTACCTGACTCTCTAACTGAAGAGCCACCTCCAGTTCGAGCTCACTCGGTATTTAGAAGGCTCTCCATAAGCCTAACCACAGCCGGATTTTCTAAATGAGCCATGTGAGGACACAAGTTACTTATAACTGACTTGAACCATGGTATGTCCACCACCCCATTTTATAACTCTTATCAAGGCTCTAAGTTCTCCAATAGCTATGATTATTTCTTTCAATGACTAACATCCTTTTTTTTTTTAAAGGAAATAGTATAGTCATATCATTATGTCGTATTTCCTTCATATAAAAAAAAATCATGTCCACGAATGTAATATTAAGAGCCGGACAAGATAGTTGAGCACTGTCCTGCATTAACTGGTGGCGTAGTGGTTAAGGCAGCTGGAGCCCACACGGCCAACTACACAGTTTGAGTCCTGGACACTGTGGCTTGAAAAACATGCTGAAAAGCATGCGCCTATGTGTGCATGCCCAAACTCCCAAGAAGAGAGTGGAGGAAAAGGGATTGTGGTGTGGCCATCCACCTGGAGGGTGATTTCTCACTTTCTCTCTCTCTCTCTTTCTCTCACTTTCTCCAGCGAGCACACACGTCCCATAGCAAAATGAAACAATAATAATAATAATAATAATAATGAAATGGTCCCTCATTTTAGGAGAGTATAGTCTAATGCAGAACAATATCAAAAACATTAGCATCTTGGGAACCAGCAGTTAGCGTAATGGCTATGTCGCTGGACTCCCACATAGTCGACCGCGGTTCGCGTCCCGGACCTGGTGGCTTAAACCTCACGCCGGGCGCGTGTGCATGCGTGCCCAAGATCCCGAGAGGAGAATGGAGGAGAAGGGATTGCTGCGTGACTATCCCCCCTGGGGAGTGATTTCTCGCTTTCTGTCTCTATGTCTCTCTCTGTCTGTCTGGTGAGCGCCCGCGCCCTACAGTGAAAATCTCTCCAAAAACAAAAAAACATTAGCATCTTCAAATTGTTCATGAGTGAAAGAAACTGTGTATGAAGATATCATTACCTTGACACTGTTTTGGAATTTCAGTCATTGTGTCAAAAGGGAGTTTGTTTCTCATATTCTTTGTGTTTGTGACTAATTACCAGAAACTGTAGTAGTACCCAGGTAGATTTTCAAACGGAACAGCCCTTTGGTGACTTATAAGCAACAAAAAAAATTCTAATTAAAAACCTCTCTTAGGACCAGCCTGCGGTATAGTACTTAAGGAGCTGGATTCTGCATGACTGACTGCATGGTTTGAGTCCCAGGCCCAGTGGCTTGAGAAACACACCAAGTGCATGTGCACACTTATCCAAAATCCCCAAAGGAGAAATGGAGAAGAAGGGCTTGAAATGTGACTATTCTTCAGGGCCGATGCTGTCTCACTTTTCTTCTCCCTCTTTCTCTCTCTGTCTCTCTCTAGTGAATGTACAAGTCCAGTGGCAAACATTAGAAAAAAAAAAATTTAATTGTCATTTTGTAAAACTGATAGCAATAATTAAAACCATATGATACTCATGCAGGAGATCAACAGAGAGGCCTACAAAAATCCCAGGAACAGTCATTAGCCTCTAATCATCAAAACAATTCAGTGTATGGAAAAACAGGCTTCACAAACAGTGGAGGGAGAAAATATTAGTCAACAAAGAGTGACACTATTAAAAAAAGAAGAAGAATGAAGAAATATTGGAGCCTACTACACATTATAAATCACGATAAATTTAAGGTAGACTTACAGTACTATATATTAAAATTTGAAATCATAGAAAGTACTAAAAATGAACTTTTATTTTATCAGGAGAAAGATTTGGTCTTCGTTTTTTCAGGATGCTATAATAAACCATCATAAATTGGGTGACTTAAAAATAATGGAAGTTTCTCGCAGTTCTGGAGGCTGTGAAATCCAAGATCGAGGTGCTGGCAGGTCAGTATCTGTGAGGGCCTGCTTCCTCAGAGACACAACCTTCCTGCTGTACCCTCACACAGCACACTGTGCAGGGAGAGATTCTTGGCTTTTTTATAAGGGTACTCATCCCATTCATGAAGGCTCCACCCTCAGCACCTAATCACCACCCAAAACCCCACCTCCTAAAACCATCATATAGGGTATTAGAATTTCAACGTAAGAATTGGGGGGGCACACAGTCGGATCATAGCAGCCTAAGAATAAAAGAAATGGAAAAACATCAAAAGAGAAAAGTATAAATGATAGCAAGTTTTAAAACTTTCATGCATCAAAATTATGTAAAGACAATTCAAAGTAAAAGGTCAACCTGGAAAAATATGTTCAGAAATAATATATAGAGTAAAAACTTTAATATGCAAAGAGCCTATTCGAACCAATGAAAGAAACCAATGACCTAAGAGAAAAATTCTGTAGAGGAATTAACAATTATCAGGATTTTACATGGCTAATAAAATCAGAAATGTCTCATCTCAGGACCAGGAGATGGCCTAATGGTTATGTCACTGGACTCCCACGTAATCAATCATGGTTCAAATATTGGACCCAGCTGAGAGGAGAATGGAGGAGAAGGGATTGTGGCATGGCCTCCTGGGGATGATTTCTCACTTTCTGTCTCTTCATCTCCCTCTGTCTCTCCAGAGAGCACACATGCCATAGAGCAAAGATCTCTTAAAAAAAAAAAAAGGAAAAAAAGTCTCATCTCACTAGTTATCAATCAAATACAGATTATAAAATCATTGAAATATTATTTCTAACATTTAAGAATACAACATTTTAAATATACTTAATAATTAAGTATATTAAGAGTTCTATAAGGAAGCACTTAAAGAAAGATAAAATTTATGGTACAAAATTTCCACAAAGGAATTTAGCAATACATATCAATGAATTTTTGTTGTTCTTGTTGTTGTTCACAGGTAGCATGTGCTTATCAGAGAAAGAGAGAAAAGGTGAAAGTACCCCCAGTGGGGTGTGCTCACACTGCAATCCTTTCTCCTCCATTTCTCCCCCTGTTGGGATTTGGGGCATGCTCCTACATGCAGTCAGCATGTTTTCTGAGCAGCCTGGTTGGAATTTGAACTTTGAGGTTGGCCATGTGGGATCCAGCTCCCTTGCCCACCAGGCCATGGCACCAGCTTGATGCATTTTTTTCCAAGTTTAATTTATGTATTTGATGAGCGACAGACAGAAAGAAGTCAGAAATACAGCACTCCTGGTGGGGTCTTGATGCCACCATAACCCCCAGCCTGAGCCCGCTGTAGCTCATGGGCATATGTATGCCGGCACATTCAGGAATGTCTCTGGACATGAACCAGTAACCTTCCCAGTGGGTCTGCCTTACAGAGCATCACTTTTACCACAGCACTATTATCCAGACTCTCAATGGTGTGGCCATTCCCCAGAGGGGTGATTTC